TATTGTAGATATTTGTATATAATAAACTTAGTCTTAAGCTGACTCTTAAGTTGATTGCATGGTGCTCGCTCCCGATCCCGCTCTCCAGCATAACATGGCGCAGTTATAAACTCGAAAAACGGTTGTAAATTTACAAAAAGATCAAATCAAGAAATAACTAAAAAATGGAATCCAACAAGTTAGRACCGCTTCAATTAGCCGGCAATCATTCCGAAAACTGGAAGAGATGGATCCAAAAATTTGAAATTTATGCCACAGCTACCGAATTGAAGAAAAAAGAAGAAAAAGTCCAGTGTGCACAACTTCTCTATTCATTGGGTGAAGAATGTATTGAAATCTATAATTCATTCGAATTTACCGACGAAGAAAAGGACAAGTTCGCAATTTTAAAACAGAAGTTTGAAGATTATTTCGTCCCCAAGAAGAATTTAACGTATTGCAGATACAAATTTTTCTCAGCGAGGCAAGGCAATGAAACAATCGAACAATTCGTAACTGACTTAAAAAATAAAGCAAAGGAATGTGAATTAGGAAATTTACAAGATGACTTAATCAAGACGATGCTCATTACTGGAATAAGGGATGAATCAGTAAGGGAAAAATTACTAGAAAAGGACGGGACATCGCTAACGTTAGAAAAAGCCGTTGAATGCTGCATACAAACTGAAACGGCCAGGAAACAATTAAATGAAATGAAAGGTGAAGCAGGAGAAAATCGAAGTCTCAATTATCGAAATTTGAATRTAGAAGCCATCCAACATCGCAATGGACGTAACGGTCAAAACGCTTCCCCGAAATCAGCGTCGACGTRATCGAAACAAGTTCATTCCAGGAACACTACAGGAAACGGTCGAGACACGATATATAAACAAAAAACTGTGCAATCGGGTAAGATAATAAATAATTGTTCGCGTTGTGGTCGTTGTCATAATATTAATGCATGTCCAGCTTATGGGAAAATTTGCTCTTTTTGTAAAAATAAAAATCATTTTGCGAARATGTGTAAATTAAATAAAGACACAAATAAAAAGAAAATTCAACAAATTAATAAGTTTAAGGAAAATGATGACACACAATACTTTTTTGTTGAAACAATAAATTATAAAAATAATGATTCTAACAATTCTAATTTAGTCAACTTAAYAATTAATAACAAATTCGTTAAATGTAAAATTGATAGTGGTGCAGAAGCAAATGTAATTTCAATAAATACATTAAAATATCTTAACTTTAAGTTAGACAGGATTGAAAATACAAATGATGTATTAGTAACTTATACGAAGGAAAAAATATCGATTTTAGGAAAATGTAAATTATGTTTAGAATTTCGCAAACAAAAATTTCAAGTTGATTTTTATGTAGAACAAACAAATAGTAATAAAACTATAATAGYATTTAGCACAGCTATTACCACTGGTATCTTACAACTTAATAAAGAAATTGAAACCATCAATTTAAATCAGCAATGTCAAAACAGTAACTACAAAAACTTAATTTATAAATATGACAGTGTTTTCAAAGGTATAGGTAAAATAAATAAACCGTATCATTTTGATTTAATTGAAAATGCAAAACCTGTCATTTGTCCTATCAGAAATGTACCATTTGCTTTAAGAGATAAATTTAAAACATGTCTAGAAGAACTAGAACAAGCTCAAATAATTAAAAAAGTTGAAGGTTCTTCTGAATGGGTAAACTCGTATGTATTAGTCAAAAAAGAAGATGGTTCTTTAAGAGTGTGCTTAGACCCTCAAAATTTAAATAAAGTAATAAAAAATCATAAATATAAAATTCCGAATATAGACGAAATATCAAATAAATTAAATGGGTCAAAAATATTTTCTACTTTAGATGCTGCTAGCGGGTTTTGGAACATTCCGTTAGATAAAACATCTAGTAAATTATGTACGTTTGGAACGCCATTTGGACGATACAGATTTCTACGCATGCCTATGGGTATCAAAGTAGCAAGTGAGGTATTTCAAGAATATTTTAGTGAAATATTCAATATTCCAGGTGTAGAGGTCTATGTAGATGACATTTTAATTCATGCAAAAAATAAAACTGAACATGACAAAATTCTTGAACAAGTATTTCAAATTGCAAAAGAAAATAATATTAAATTTAATTTAAGGAAATGCAGATTTGGTCTTAATGAAATAAAGTATTTAGGACATAAATTTAGTGCTGCAGGTATTTCAGTTGATGAAGAAAAAATAGACGCAATAAAAAATATGCCTCCACCTACTTGCAAAAAAGACATCGAGCGATTTTTAGGTCTAGTTACATATGTAGGTAGATTCATAAATAATTTGTCGGAAAAAACATATCATTTAAGAAAATTATTGAAACAAGACGTTTGTTTCGAATGGGAACAAGAACAGCAAGAAGCTTTTAATAATTTAAAATCACTTATAGTAAGTAAACCTTGTTTACAATTTTTTGATCCTAAAAAAGATATAACTATCTCAGTAGACGCTTCTCAAAATGGATTAGGAGCTGTTCTTTTGCAAAATAACAAACCTTGTGCATTCGCTTRAAGAGCAATGACTGAAACGCAAAAAAGGTATGCCCAAATTGAGAAAGAGCTTTTAGCCATTCACTTTGGAGTAAATAAGTTTTATCAATATATTTTCGGTCGAAAATTTAATGTTGAAACAGACCATAAACCCCTAATATCTATTTTCAAAAAATCCTTAAATGACTGTCCAGCAAGATTACAACGTATGAGATTGTCTCTTCAAAAATTTGACCTAAACTTGATATATAAACCGGGTAAAGACCTAGTAGTAGCGGATACRTTGTCAAGGGCTACTTTACCTCAAAAATATGAAGATAATTTAAGTTTAGAATTACAAATTTGTATTGTAGAACAAAATCTGGTCATAAACGATGAAAATTTAAATAGATTAATAATTGAAAGCAAAAAAGATGAAGATTTCCAAAAAATTAGACACTATTTAAATAACGGTTGGCCTTTATCAATCAATAAAGTTCCATCTGAGATCAAATCATATTARAAAGAAAGAGCAGAAATTACTCAGGGTAACAATGAATTGATTTATAAAGGACAAAAAGTAATCATACCCAAATCACTACGTCCAAAAATTTTAGCRGACTTACACGTAGGACATTTAGGTATCAAAAAATGCATACAAAAAGCTAGATTTTGCGTCTATTGGCCAGGAATAACAACTAATATTGAAAACTACATTTCTAAATGCGAAATGTGTAACAAGTATTCAAATTCTAATAAAAATGAACCAATGTTACCTCATAAAATTATAAAACAACCATGGCAAAAATTAGGAATGGATATTTTTGAAATATATGGACAAACATATTTAATCGTAGTTGATTACTATTCTAAATACCCAGAAGTTATCAATCTAAATAAAAATTTAACTTCAAAAAATATCATACATAAACTAAAATCAATATTTTCACGTCATGGAATACCCAAAATTGTAATTGCAGACAGTGGAACACAATTAACAAGTAATGAAATAAAACAATTTGCTAAAGAATGGAATTTTACTTTAATTGCTGCTTCTCCTAAAAATCAAAGATCGAATGGTCAAAGTGAACGAACAATACAAACAGTCAAAAACATAATTAAAAAAACAACAGAAAATGGAGAAGACATGTATTTAGCTCTTTTAGCTTTTCGCAATACACCTATTTATGACATTTATACTCCATCACAATTATTAATGTSTAGATATTTACGCGATCAACTACCCATCAGCAATCATAATTTAAAACCAAAAATTATTAACACTAAAGTATTTCATAAAAGGATTGACAATAAACAAAATATAAGTAAAATTAATTTTGATATAAGAGGAATAAAACAATTTCCGCAATTTTACAATAATGAAGTTATAAGATACCAAGAGGTACCAAAAAGCTGTTGGAAATTAGGTAGAATTGTAGAACGACTTAGGGATCGTACTTACAGGATTCAAAAGGATAATGGAAGATGCATCATTAGAAATCGCAGGTACATCAAGAAAACTAGAGAAAATACCGACGATTTCATGCATTCTCTTGAGTCCAATAATGATTGTAAAAATACTCCTTGTTCGACTTTTGTTTATAATATAGATTTAGATATAAGTGATAAAAGTGATAGTGTGGTAGAAAACCAAGAAATAAACAGTGAAAAGCAAGAAATTAACAGTGAAGTGCCAAATCAAAGTGAATTAGAACCTGTTGAGATTCAAAGTGAAAATAACGAAACCAATGAACTCACAAACGGGGAGGAAAGTGTTTATAATAAGAATTTAGAAGATAAATTAGAACCAAGTAATGTTAATAGCTTAGAAAGTAATGATAAGGAAAATAACAAAGATACTAAAATTAAAACTACAAAATCAGGACGCAAATCGAAGCGCCCAAAAAGATTAAAGGATTTTGTAACTAATTAATGGGGAGGATGTTATACATATGTGTATGCTTGGTTGCATATTGTAGATATTTGTATATAATAAACTTAGTCTTAAGCTGACTCTTAAGTTGATTGCATGGTGCT